TCTAATTATGCAGGCCCCTACATTACTTGCATGCATCCTGTGGTGACGCTTAGCCGGGAGAGCTCGGGGATTAACCAGATCTTCCAATATCCCTTGGTAAAGGAATGTACCTTGAATTATAGTTGCCCCCCTAACATGAGATAAGGCAGATCATCTTAATTAAGGGGTTTTGGAAGATCTGGTTATGAGAGGATCGTGCCGCTGATTTGGTTGTTCGTGTCGTGAATCCGGGTGTACGGCGACGGCGGGTTACATCTCACGTTTATGTTAAGGATGCACATGCACGTGTTTAGGCTGTTTGGGCTTTCGCTCTTGCCGCGTATAGTTTTAATCTGAGGAAGACTTGCAAGTCTCTTATTAAAGCCTCAAGTGTAATTACATATGTATACATATATACACATGTATGTATACACACATGTGTGTGTGTATATCTATATATATATATATAATTTTCTGCACATACATGTACAGTATACTTGTGGTGCGTTCAAGCACTTACCAGGCATGTACGAATCTACCACACCCTTGCAGCCTGAACCCTCAAAGCCCAAACCTTTCCCAAGCCTTCCGGAAACAGAAGCCTATACCGGATGAACCTTAGCCCCAAACCCCATAAATCCTCAACTAAACCCTAAACCCTAAACCCTAAACCCTAAACCCTAAACCCTCAACCCAACCCTATACCCTTGAAGCCCCTACACCCAACAGCCTGTAATCCAAAATGCCCAAAGCCTAAAGCCTATAGCACCGAAGCTCTAAACTGGAAAGCCCCCAAGCCCCTACTTGGAGGTTCATGGGACTTCATAAGTATAGTTATGAGTGCCCTAATTGGGGTTACAAGTACTTTTAAGTATAGTTGCCTTATGTATAACCCTAGTTACTGAGTACCATGAACCTTCAAGTATCAACCCGAAACTGAATGGCAAAGACCTTCCAGGTGGACCTGGTCGTTGCCTGGGGCGATCTCCGATCGCAGGCTCAGAGCGCACGCGCCTCGGGATGTCTTGCCCTGCCCATAAGGGTCCACAGGGCCCCATAAATCAGTTATTTATTGGATTTGGGATAGTCTTCTTATAGGTTTATAGGGTTAGCACTTGGGAGAGTATATGATTATGTATTAGTTAGGTAGTACGCAACTACTTGCACCCTTAGGGTGTAGGTTGCAATGGCTTGGGGTGCAGGGTCCAAACATTGTGGTAGTGTTCCTTTGGGCTCCTTAATATAAGTTACTTAGTACAGCTGTACCCCGGAAACCCTATTCTCACGATTAAGATCGTGTTTTCGCTTACTCTTTAAGGTTTGACAGGCTTTGGGTAGCAACATATACTCAACGATCCGTCAAAAGCAGTGTCAGTGTGAACCACTCGTTCTGAACAGCACTCATGTTGAGGTGCTGCATGCAAGCAAAACTCCGTGTGACACATGATCTCAAGGTGGAGAGTTTCTCTAAGATTTCAGCGTGAATCTCCATGTGAAGCCGGATTTCAAGATGAAACATTTAGCTACATCCACCAACAATGGGCCCCGCCCCACGGGTAGACAGCTGTCAGAAGTGGTTTAGTGCCGACGATCCAAGGCACGGACCCAGCTTGGAACTTACTGTTAAAAAGGGCGTTTCCACCCACCCGTGAGGCTAGGAGGCCACGTATCAGAGAAACGAGCCGCGAACACAGCAACAACTAAAGCTAACGCCCTTACACCCCATATTGTACTTGTAGTGTGAAACTATAACGCACCCCCTAGAACCTACCCGAATGATTATGGGCCCCTAAATTCCACACTAGACCACTGAAACCCTAAACCCGTCGTCTCCATGATGAGATTTCTAGATGCGTAGACCTGTGTGCAGACGGAACAGGGCATTTGATCAAAGAGAAAAAACCCCGGCTCCGAAACCCGAAACCCCAACACCGACGAGGTTCCAATTCTGCTTCCAGGGCCCCAGATCGACACTCTCGAGGACTGGAGAGGTTCTGGTGGGTTTTTAGCTAGTATAGGGCCGAAATAAGTACCAATACCATTATTATTATTTATTTATATATATTTTTTTTTTGGGGGGGGTTCCTTGTTATAGTCATAGTATAATATCCCCCCAAACCCTAGTCTAATTATTAAGGCCCCTACATTACCCTAAGGCTCCAGGGACTCATGCTTTTCTTTGGTTTGGGTCCAAAGACCATGCTATATCCGGCGTTTTTGTTATGTTGAGTCTTACTTAAAGGATCATGGGACTTAGTAAGTAAGGTTATAACTAAGGTAACTAGACTTATCACCACAATTAAAGGACTTATAACACTACTTACAAAGTCCCATGATCCTCCAAGTAGGGGGAGGGTTGAGCACTGGGCAGAGTTTTGTTATAAAGAGTCTTGTATGGCGTGGCTTCAACTCTGAGGACTGTACAGGTTCAAGTTTTGGCGGTTTTCGGGGGGGGTCTTAACAAGCCAACCCCTAAACCCTAAACCCCTAAACCCTATACCCTAAACCCTAAAACCCCAAACCCTAAACCCTAAACCCCAAACCCTAAACCCTAAACTGGCCCTACACCCTAAACCCTAGACCCTAAACCCCAAACCCCAAACCCTAAACCCTAAACTGGCCCTAAACCCTATAGACCCTAAAGCCCAAGCCCCAAACCCTAAACCCCAAACCCTAGACCCTAAAGCCCAAGCCCCAAACCCTAAACCCCAAACCCTCAACCCTAAGTGTACCTGAGTGGCAAGTCTGAAGGAACCCTGGCCTTGATGGTCCTTTCCCTGAGTCCCTTGTGCACCGTTGATTTAGGGGTTTAAGGGTTTAGGGGTTGAGGGTTTAGGGTTTAGGGGTTTAGGGGTTTTTTTGGCGTGTAGGGATGGGATTAGGGTTTAGGGTTGAGGGGTGTAGGGTTTAGGGGTTATTTAGGGTGTAGGGATGGGATTAGGGTTTAGGGTTGAGGGGTGTAGGGTTTAGGGTTTAGGGTTAAGGGGTGTAGGGTTTAGGGTTTAGGATTTAGGGGTGTGGGGTTTAGGATGTAGGGGTGTAGGGTTTGCGGGTTTAGGGTTGAGGGGCGTAGGGTTTAAGGTTTAGGGGTGTAGGGTTCATAGGGTTTAGGACCAGGGTATGGGGACTTAACCACTAGGGTTTAGGGTTTAGGCGGTTTAGGTTTCTAGCTTATAGGGTTCAGGATATGGGAACCTAAACGCTAGCCGCCGCTAGCCGCTAGACACGAAACCCTGAAGATTTCAGTTTTAGTGGTTCCATGTTGCCCAAGATGACAGGACATGTCACCTGGGCTTTCAGTGGAGGTGGGCCGACGACTGGGTATAGGGCTGTGCCTATGTAGCATTTGATGCCGATTACTTTGGAAACAGGCCTTAAGATCGAGAGTGTTTGGGCTTTAAGGGGTTTAGCAGGTAGGTTGTCCCTAAACCCTAAACCCTAAACCAAGGGTTGTACCGACTCGGGGATGCACAGTATTGTGTGAAAGTCGAGTTCTTCAAACATTACACTGCAGCACACCTGTGGCGCGAGCCCCTGCATGCACCAAGCCCCGAGCCAAAAAAAAAATGAAACCCCTTGACCGGAACCATGAATCAAAAAGTTCCCTAAACCCTAAACCCTAAACCATGAAAAGTTCAAGGCAGTTTGCTCCCGCGAAGTCATTTCAGAAGCCACGTGTGAGCGGTTCCCTTTAGACTCGTGACTCAGCGACGCCTGGTTTGAAGCATGGGTCGCCTTCGCTTCCGATTCCAACTGGAGTGCGCCGGTGTGCAAACGAAAAGTTTCGGAGAGTTGAGGTTCAATCTAAGGGTAGGAGCACTAAATATAGAAGCCTAAATAATTACCAACGTTACTCTTAGGGTTCCTTATTTTAATAATACCAAAAAGGAGCGCAAAAACCCTATTCCTTGCACCCCCCAAACCCTGAGGCAATTGAAAACCTTCACAACCTAATGTATAGGGGCCTTAATAATAAGCAGGGGGTGTTGGGCCCAATATACTATCATCAGAACCAATGAACCCCAAAGAGTATTGGTAATTATTAAGGCCACTATATTCCCAGACCCCCCGGGAGGATCCCAAAAGCAGATCCCTTAATGGGGGTTCCTATAAAGAGCCTTTGATAGTAGAGGGTCCCAACTTGGGGGTTCTGCTGCTATTGGGTTTCGTCAGGTTTTACAAGGACGTAGGGCGTAGGGCTTTATTCAGGTTTTAGAGGGGTTAGGCTTCATTCGGAGTTTATTGGGATTCAGGGTGTATAATAGTATACATATATATATATATATATAGGTATATATATATATATATATATATAGCGATTTAAGCCTTCAACCCTCAATTTTGAGCCGTAGACCCACGCCGTGCAGGTCGGATCCGCGATTCTGTACCAGCTTCGGGGTGTCAACTTCGGCACGGCCGGCAACGGGAAGATTCAGGCTAGCATGGTGGGGCTCTCTGCTTGCCCAAAATAGTATGGGTAATTATTTCCCTAAGGGTCCAAAGGACCCAATAATAAGGTACTTTGGTTGCGGATAGTAGTTTGCGAGGTTAATATTTGGGAGAGTATATGATTATTAGGTACTTGGACCCTTTGGGCCTTGATACTAATCCTAATCCTACTCCTATTGCTATGATCTATTACCAGCCCGATGCTACTATTATCTACTAAACTGCACCAGTTTGAAAAATGGGCTCTACCATGCAGGGATCTCCTGAGAAGCAGACCAACAGATCAAGATCGATGGATACACGCTATTTTGGTGGTGTTTTAGGGGTTTCAGATTCAGGTTGAAGGGGTTAGGGTCCAGGGTCTAGCGTGTTCGGGTTTAGGGTTTTAGAGTTTGGGGTTCAGCGCGTGGAGTTTTAGGGTGCAGCGGTAAGGGCCTATAGGGGTCGAAAAAAGGACGAGGCGAGCTTTGTCAATTCTTGTTACAGCCGCGATGCCGTTTGCAACATTCTGTTTCTGGTTTAGGGAATGGGCCTTGGGGAGATTTTCCTTAGCCAGCATAATGGTATCCTAAAGCCGATGCTAACTTCTCAAGCAGCGCTAGTAAACGATAATGCTGAAGAACGGATGTCTGGCTAGTTCGTAATAGTATCTCTTCACCTTGTACTACAGTATTGTTTGAGGCCCTATACTAGACCCTAAACCTCTAAACCCCTAAGTCCAACCCCCCTGAACCATAAAACGCCGAACCCTAAACCCGAAACCCTACACCACGCATTCTGGCAGTGTCAGGTGATGATGGGCGACCGCCCCTGCAACATAACGAGTCGCAACGACGGCGGCTGGCTTGCACTTTTAGAAACTGGTTGGGGCTTGTTGGCCTTTTTCGGGTTTAGGGTGTAGTTTTTGTTTTTGTTTAATGGGCTATAACATCGATGTATTGATGTTGTAGGGTTTAGTGTTTGAGGTCATATAGAAGTATATTCACAAAGGCTTCTCTGTCGCGCCTTTAAAGCAATACCAAGGCGAGATCTACTGCATCGTCGACGGACCTCTGCGTTCGGAGCTCAGGCTTTTGGGGGTGTCCTTGCCGAGGCCTTATGAACCCTAAACCCCTACACCCTAAACCCTAAAGGGTGTAGGGCTTAACAAGGATGTGAAAAGGGATTTACGCTGCTAGGGTTTAGCATTGAGGTCGTCCGTTAGGGTTTATGATATCAGCCGTTAGGGTTCAGGGTCGAGGCTGTTAGGGGGTTTAGGGCGTTAGTTGTTTTTGTTTGTTTTTCCTGCGTTGTCGCCAGCCGCTCCCCTTTGTATATTGTTGTATACCATATAGGGAGGGCGGTGCACCAACACTAGAAGACCGGTAAGCATCAGGCGCCGCACCTTCTAAGCTGCACCCCAAACCCTAAACCATGAACCTTAACCATTCTGAACCCACGCATTTTCAAAACAAAAACCTAAATCCCAAACCCAAAACTTCCCTAGACCCCAGACCCAAAACCCTAAACCTTAAACCCTGAACCCGAAACCCTAGACCCTAAACCCTATAACCCTACAGCCCTTTTTCAACTTCCAAAGCCCCAAATTCCCTAAACCTAAACCAAGAGCCCCATAACTTTAGGGTTTAGGGGTTTAGGGTTTCCTGAAACCTATAACACTATAGGGTTTAGTCAGCAGATTCCCTAAACCCCTAAACCCAAGAGCCTTAAAACCCTAAACCTATAACACTAAAGCCCTAAAACCCCAAAGCCATTTCCCAAAACCCAAAACCCTAAACCCTAAACCCCCAAACCCTAAACCCTAAACCCCCAAACCCTAAACCCTAAACCGCCAAACCCTAAAACCCGAAAGATGCTAAAGGCGACGACTTGGCATCGCTCTACCCGGATCCTCCGATGAATAGCAGCCCATGCCTCGGCTGGGGCTTCAGGGTCTAGGGTTTAGGGTTTAGGGTTTAGGGTTTAGGGTTTAGGGTCTACGGTTTAGGGTTTAGGATTTAGGGTCTGGGATTTAGGGTTTAGGGTCTAGGGTTTAGGGTTTAGGGTTTAGG